TGCTTTGGCGGTCCATTTTCTTCCGGGTAAATCGTGATAACGTGAGTGGTCGAGTGATGTGTCACCTAACGAGAGTGATGTGTCACCTAAACGTTTCGGTCTCGTCTGATCTCGAAGGCAATCTTTTTTGTACCAGAGTGCTTCAGCTATACCACGACTACATTCGGACCATGTGACTTGACCTTGATAGGACTGGTCAGATGACATTATGTATTTGTATGCATCACACGAAAATTTATAATCGGAATCGTGTATCATTCCCAAACTTTTGAACAAATAAATTATTACTTTTTACAATGTGTTTTATTTTGCATTGATTATTCTAAATATTTTAATATTAAATTTAATTAATAATTATCATACTGAACAATTAAAGGAAAAAGTATCTTAAAAAAGTTTCTTTGCTTTTTGATTGTAAATTAAACAACTTAAATAAAAATTCTTATAAAACATATTATCGTATTTAAACTTGTATGTTAAACTAATATGTTAAACTTTATATCTAAACTTACACATGACCGATCTCATGAACAGCAGTGAGAGACGATGAAAAACCCGAAGTTATATACTCCGCGATACCGAATTCTACTATCGCACACGATTCATTCAAGTTGCATGCGCCATCAGGGTTTGTTATTCCTATGCTACGTAGATCAATTTCCTCTATAAATTTCCTCGAATAAATATTTATTCCATTTAGGTAAAGACCAACGTCCCAGTGATTCGGATCATTGTCGTCCGAAGGATTGCGAGTTACAGAACATTGCGTAATTACAGAACGAATCAAGCAGTTTCTCATCGTTGCCGCCAAAAACTGGCAAATTTAAAGGTTGTTCATCCATAATTTCCAAATGTACCAATGAAATATCGATAGAAACACCCAAACTCGGATGATGAAACACTGCTTGAATACGATTCACGTACACTATCAACATGCGCAACGTTTCTTTATCTTCACCCAGAAAAGGCATGAACGTACGATATGCGGCTTCGTCTAAGAAAACAGCCAGTTGCATAATTAATTTTTTTTGTGTATTTTGTACATGACGCCGTTTTATTACAAAATTATCCAAATTTGGAAAACTTGTATCAGCAAATGATTGTGATGATCTTTCAATAAGATGAGGTTTGTCAAATGAAATATTAACTTCTTCCTTGATGCAAAGATCATTCATTAAGGACAAAGACGCATGGTCATCCCGCAAAGTTTTAATTTTTAATGTGTCGTCTTTGAAAAAAACAAATCCTTCCTACTTTTAAAAAATATATGTCAAGTTTTTGAAAGTCATGTTTGTATATAAAACAAAGAGAAATTTAGATTAAAAGTAATAGCTATTTACTTTTCATGTGGTACCACTAACTCATCCATATTTCTTACAAACGTTTATGGCCGCTGTGCTGATACGATTTTTGTGAAAATAATAGCAAGGATCCGATGCGTGTAGTTCCGACAATCCTATTGTGATGTCTTTTGCATCATGTTTCCATACCTTATACGTAGACGATACATTCTTGTCGTTTCTTCGCAGGTTTAACTTAATCTGTTTTCCAAAAACTTTTAAAGTCAGTGGTATCTGTAAATTATATAAGAGTTTAAAAAGATTTGATGATTCTCTAATAATATTTCTAATAATATTATTTACTCGAATAATATTTTGATAATTGAGCAATGAACGAAGCAATACAGTAAAGCTCACGTACTTCCTTTATCTCTGTCGTATTCAATGCCGGCAGCAATATTCTTTCGATATCTTGTGTGGTATGCGCGTGCGTTTCGTTTAATAAAAATATTAACACCAACTTCAACATGAAAAACATGTTGTTTATTTCGTTTTTCTGTTATAACTACCTAAAAATGTTTAGTTAACGTCTCCTTTACACATCAAATTACTTATGATATACGTAGGTTATTATACTTTCATGTTTGTCATATGCTCTGATTGCGTATAGATCTTACATACAGGCATCTAGATTTAAGAAAATCATTTGTATCGTGTGACATTTATTGTGTATGTACTCTATATGCTACATATACAAGGTGTCCCAATAAAATGTATTCACATTTAACAAATTAACGTCTGTCCATTTTGTTAAAATACCTAATAATAAAATGTATATACATCTTATTGGGACACTCTCTATATATTTCTTTTTTTCTGGTTTTGAATTGTAAATTTCATTGCATATAATACTTGCGGAATGGTGGATTTGGTGCAAATTTTAGAAAATTCGAATTATGATCGATATGTAGAATATGCAACATTATTCACAAACATATTGACCGTTATTTATTCATAAACGTTAAAAAAATTTTAATTAATAACAATTTTAAAATGGTTATAACAATATTATTAACGCAAGTTAGCGTTATAAATATCATATATATTATAAAAAGAAAATACAATTGATTGTTGATTTATTGATTAACTGAGTTAAAAAATTTATTAAAATTTATCCGTTTCTAATGTCATGCTGTTTTCGGTTACCGCGCTCTTGAGTTTATTATAAATAAATGACAATTTTACTAAATAATTATGAATATCTTTGAATTATAAAATAAAATTTTCTTTTTATTTTTTTCATTTATTAATTATTTCTATATAAGTGTTACTGAAACATTGGTAGACTATTAAAGTACATAACATAGTGAGCGACGTTTTGTTTTCGTCCACTTTTTCTCGATACATCTCGAAGAGAATAAAAGTACCCATACTTTACTTAGCTATCTTTTTTCGTTTTGCAAACAATTATTATCTATTGCAAACAATTATTATCTATTACTTTTATTGTTTTTTAAATGTTTTTATTAATGCTATTTGATGAAATTTGTTTTAGATGCTGATAATTTGACGTAATTCTTGTCTCCCACAAGCAAAATATAGATGACACGCAAAACAAAAGTTAACACGACAGATTGTGCGATCGAAAATTTGGTACCAATCAAATTGGCCAATTTTTCTATACTGATTTACACGCGTTTTATAATTATCTTTTTCCTCGATCCTTGTTCACATGTCGAGAATCCTTCAAAAATACTTAAGAGTAGCTTGCCGGCAGACAATAATGTTGGCGGCAATAATAATCTTGGCCATTTTTTTTGTGACACCACGTTCCATCTGGAAAATATGGATCGATACCGGAGCTGAGCATTTCCAAGCGTGGTGCGTAGAAAGTAGATGGATTTTTTCGTCGGCAGTGTATAGTACAGGCCATCCACGGTTCCGAGACATTATAAGAGATTTGAACTCCTGGCTCTTTTTCCAGTTCGATCTTTGCTGCAAAGCATCCAGTCTTTGCTCAGAACCACGTCGTAATATGGTTCGCTGCAACTTGCTGTTCTGCGAAGTCCATGTCTGCAAGAACGTCGGTTGATTTTTACGCCTTTAGATTTTACTAGGCTGCTACTTTGACAGGTGCTTTCTTTCCATTCACTCCAGTTATCATCTTCACAATACTCGAGAATGTATGATAGTCTCAGAACGAGAACGCATTCTCCACCACGACATTCTTTCTCGGGTGCGCAATAAGTTCCTTAAAAAATGAGATTAATTAAGCTATTAACTGTTCAGCGATCAGCGTGAGGAAACGCACCTTCTAACGCCGGTCCCGTGATGTAATGCCCATTCTTGTGAGGCGTTTCGCATTCTAAGGTTTTGCATATATCAAGCAACGAGACTACATTGGCATCCTTGTCGCGAAAATATATTTCGCATTGTGTTTTGGCGATCTATTCCCCTCCGGGTAAGTCATAATAACGCGAGTGATCATACGCGTCTTCTAGATTTTTCGTATTATCTCGGAGACACTGTTCACTGTACCAGAGTTTTTTTAGCAATATCGCGACTATGCTCGGACCATGTTGTCCTGCTATGGAACCCGCGTTGTGCCATTATGTATTGGTATGTTTCATCCTGGTTTGAATCGTGTTCCATTCCTAAACTTTAAAACAAATAAGTATTAATTTTGACAAAAAGTTTTATTTTGCATTGTTTATTCCAAATATTTATGTATTAGAATTTATTAATAATTAACATTCTGAGTAACTGTATTGAAGCTACTAATTAAGCAAACTGTACAGTTAATTACACTCAAGAACTAAATCTCTCTTAAAAAAGCCTTTACCTTTTACTTTAAAATTTTGCAAGTCATAAATTTTTTATAGAACGTATTATTGATATTTAATTTATACGTAAAACAATTATAAACTTTTACATGGCCGATTTCATAAGCAGCAGTAATAGACGATGTAAAACCCGAGGATAGCTTATCCGCAATACCGAATTCTACAATCGCGCATGATTTATTTAAGCTGCACATGCCATTGCGGTAGGCTAATCCTAAGGTACCTAGGAGACCTTTCTTTCTCCAAAAATCTATTCCGGATATGTAAAGACTAATGTCCCAGTGGCGCGGATCATTATCGTCCGGAGGATTGCGAGTTTCCGCGTATTTGCAGAACGAATTGAGCAGTTTGGTAGCGTTGCCGTCAGAAACTGGCAAATTTAACGGTTGTTCTTTCATAATTTCCAAATGTACCAATAAAATATCGATGGAAACACCCAAACTTGGATGATGAAACGCAGCTTAAATACGATTCACATACGCTAATATCAACATGCCCACCACATTTTTATTTTCACCCAAAAAAGGCATGAACGTACGATATGCGGCTTCGTCTAAGAAAACAGCCAGTTCCATAGTTAATTTTTTTTGCGTATCATGTACATGACGTCGCTTCATTACAAAATTATCCAAATTTGGAAAACTTGCATCAACAGATGATTGCGATGATCTTTTAATAATATGAGGTTTGCCAAATAAAATATTAATTTCTTCTTTAACGCAAACATTATCGATTAAGGACAAAGACGCAAAATCATCTCGCAAAGATTTAATTTCCAATGTGTCGTCTTTCAAAAAACAAATCTTTCCTACTTTAAAAAATATACATTAAGGCGTGTCATGCTTATACATAAAATAAAAAGAAATTAAATTTCAAAGTAAAACCTATTTGTTTTTGTTGGGATGGATGGCGCTTAAGTCAGTTCTTCATTCTCATGATTGGGCGCTATTCACTATTGGATGGAATTTTCTCGATCGCTTACTGAACACATTGTTGCGCCTACTTCGGTAGCGGTAGGCGCTGCGTAAAGATTCGGGATTCGCCGTGCTGGTCAAGGGGGCTTTGGCTCGGAGAGTTTAGAATAATTATGCACTTTAAATAGATTGAATAACTTTTATTCGGTATCTTCTTATTACACTTGTCACCTCACTCACTCGGCGACCGTACTACCGTGGTTACGCGTGTGCGCGACGTGTCGTGCTTCGTCCGGAACCTTGCTGATTAATAATCCGCGGCGCCTTGTGTGCCGCCTTAATTTATACGGATCAGTATTCGGAACACAATGAGACTTGAACTATATCGATCCATTGTGTTACCAAAATGCTGATCTGTTTAATCTACTTTAGACGCAAGTGACACTCGGGCTTCTAAGAACGAGTGCTCGCGTCAGCGCCTGATTGTTTAATAATTAAATAACTTTTGTCACAGGATTCTCGAGAAGTGACCTCGATTATTGGCCTTCTAAATGTTTATTATTGTTATTGCCTAATTAACCTATAATTATTACGTTGTGGTCTTTCGACACACAACAACATTATTATTAGACACCGACCTGTGTAGCGCTCGTTTTATAAATATACATTGTCTCTTGCATTTTATTGTGGCAAATTCTGTGATTTTCTATTCCACCTCCATATATCCCATCAGGTTATAGGCCCAGGTATCGGTAAGGAAACAATACTAATAATACAGAGTTAATCGCAAGAAGAGAGTTATTGTACGATCGCGAAAGTAGTGCCAAGCTAACCTCAAAAATGGCACAGGATAATCTGAAATTTCATATCCCGCTGTTAAACGGAGGAAATTGTTTTTTGGAAAACTAAAGTACGGGCAATACTAATACGAGACGAATTGTGGGACGTCGTCAGTGAGCCCAAACCTGCACAGCCCGATGAAGTATGGAAAAAGCGCAACAATAAAGCTATGGCATATATAACGCTAAGTGTGGAAGATAATCAACTGATAAATTTTGCGCATCTTGAAAACGCTTTTGATATATGGTAAGCGTTATCTAAAAAGTACGAGCGTTCGACCTTCGGTAGCAGATTGTATTTTCGAAGAAAATTATACAGTATTCACTATCGAGGTGGACCGATGGGTAGCCACATCGATGCGATCATGGAGGTAGTAGGATTACTACGCGGTTCTGGAAAGTCTCTCGAAGACGAAGAAATAGTCGCAGTTTTGGTAAGTCTACCGGAAACATACTCAGGTCTGGTTACAGCGCTTGAGGGAAGAGATGAGGCGGACTTAACGATCGAATACGTAACTGGAAAAATGTTGGACGAGTATCAACGACGTACGGAAAGCGGTGAGTCGAGCGAGAAAAAATCGGAAGTAGTTCTTCAGTCGGCAGTTATTAACAAGGGAAGTAATAGCGATCGTAGCAGTTTAACTAAAAGCGAGAAAGGCAAAAGAAATTTCAAGAAAGATAATAATAAAGAAATGCGAACATGTTTCTTTTGTAGCAAACCAAGCCACATCAAAACGGATTGTAGGCTCTACAAGAAATCACAGCTACAGCAGAAGAATATGAACACGGAACAAGAAAAATCAACAGAGACAGCAAAGGTCGGTGTTCAAAGTAGTCATATTACGTTCACTGTACGTGAGGAGGCTCGAGCAGCCACTACAGGAGTATGGTATATAGACTCAGGTGCAACGAGTCACATGACCAATGACCAATCCTTTTTCACAAAAATTGAGGATACAAATATAAATATCTTTCTTGCTGATGGTTCGTCGCTCAAGGCAGCAGGAATTGGAGAAGGTCGTTTACCATGCAGAGTTTCAGATAACAGTGTGCAAATGATAGACCTTAAAAATGTACTATATATTCCACAACTTGACGGAGGATTGTTTTCAGTGCAGAGGATAATTGAATATGGACATCGAGTTATATTCAAGGGAAGTACTTGCACGATTTATCAAGGACGACGAATTGTAGCTAAAGCGGAAAACAACGGAAGTTTATTCCGACTGCAGACAACGGAGACAGAGGTTTCGGCAAGAGTTGCAAGCGTAGCAACATGCATCCATCAGTGGCATCGACGTTTAGGTCACAGGGATCCTAAAGCAATAAGACGTTTAATAAAAGAAGAGTTAGCAACAGGAATTAAAGTAACTATGTGTTCTGACGAGATGGTTTGTGAATATTGTATAAAAGGAAAGTTAGCTGAAACAAAGTTCCCCGAAAGCAAACGAAGAGAAAAAGGACTAATGAGATTGGTTCATTCGGACTTATGTGGACCGATGCCGACCACTACGCCAAGTGGAAATCGATATTTTCTTACCTTAATCGATGACTATTCTTGTTTTACCATAGTACGTTTATTGAAATCGAAGACGGAAGTTCCAGAAGTCGTAAAGGAGTATATTACTGAAATGTCAGTAAGATTCGGTAGAAAGCCTATTGCCTTACGTACAGATAACGGTAAGGAGTATATTTCATCCAAATTAACAGATTTTTTAAAGAAAGAAGGGATACAGCATCAACTCACAGTGGTGTATACGCCGCAACAAAATGGAGTTGCGGAGAGGAAAAACAGGTCGCTGACAGAGTCTGCAAAGTGCATGTTATTAGACGCTCATTTGGACAATCGCTTCTGGGGAGAGGCAGTTTTGACAGCGGCGTATCTACAAAATCGGATGACGAGTCGCAGTATTGATAAAACACCCGTCGAGTTATTTATTGGTGAAAAACCGGATATCAGTCACATCAGAGTGTTTGGATCGAAAGCCTATTCCATGGTTCCCAAGCAAAAACGCAGGAAGTGAGACGACAAGGCTGAAGAAGGAGTATTGGTTGGTTACGATGGAAATACCAAAGGTTACAGGATTTTTAACCCTAAAACAAATCGGATATGGATAGCTCGTTCTGTGAGAATTATAGAACACGAAGATAAGCAGTCAGGGCATTATCAAGTATTACGAAAAGAAGGGGCTAGCAGCAATGTAGCTAAACCATCAAGAACTATCAAATATGAAATGCCAGAACAAAACGAAATTAATGAAGATTCAGGATCAGAAGAAAGATCCGAAGAAGAGATAAGCGATGAAAGTTATGAAACATCTGACGATGCTACGCCAAAGATATGGCAAAAACGAGTATCACAACGGACAAATAAAGGAGTGCCACCACCTAGATTGACATACAAAGTGCAAACAAATTCAGTTCAGGAGAATCGCCAGCAGAATCGTGGCATAAGATGTTAGAACTACCGTTACAGGAACGAGAACGGTGGATCAAGGCCGCTAAAGAAGAGATGAAATCACTAAACGATCATCAAGTATGGGAGCTGACTGACCTTTCACCAGGGAAGAAGGTAACCACCTGTAAGTGGGTTTTTAAAGCCAAATTGGACGGTGAAGGTCGAGTTTACGCATACAAGGCTCGACTAGTGGCTAGAGGATTTTCTCAAGCATACGGAGAAGACTACGATGAGACATTCGCACCTGTAGTTAAACACGAAACAATCCGTACCTTGCTGTGTATAGCAGCTTAAAGGAGATTACACGTGCGTCATTTAGACGTGAAAACCGCGTATTTAAATGGAGAGCTTGAAGAGGAGATCTTTTTAGAGCAGCGACCAGGTTTTCGAAAAAGTGGACAAGAATCTAAAATCCTGAGACTGCGAAAGAGTCTCTATGGTCTAAAGCAGTCAGCACGAGCTTGGAACAAAAGGGAGCTACGGGAGCACTAGCGCAGATCGGTTTCAAACCAGGAAAGGCAGAACATTGCCTGTATACCAGAAAAGAAGAAGACGGAAATACGACTTACGTACTGCTTTATGTTGATGATCTACTGGTAGCCGGTACATCTGCGAAGGTGACTGAAAAAGTAAGCAGAGATCTTCAAGGGTACTTCGATATCAAGGATTTAGGAGACGCTAACTATTATCTTGGAGTGCAGATAAAACGCAAGGCGGATGGATCGTTCTTATTGAACCAGAAGGGGAAGATCGCCAAAATATTGAAAGAATATGGCCTATTGGAGCTAAAACCCGTGGCCACGCCAATGGAAACTGGATTCCTAAACTCTGGATTGGATAAAAACGTGAAATTGCCGAATAATAATAAATACAGGAAAGCCATCGGATCATTATTGTATATTGCCACAGTGTCCAGACTGGACATTGCCGCGGCTGTGAATATTCTATGTCGCCAAGTGGAGAAATCTACGAAACAAGACTGGGAAGCCGTCAAACGAGTGATGCGATATCTAGCATCCACAATAAATAAAAATTTACAGTTGTCTTCAACAGGTACGACGAAACTGGAATGTTTCGTGGACGCCGATTGGGCCGGAGACAGAACTGACTGGAAGTCGACTAGCGGGTACGTTTTTTGTCTAGGAGAAGGAACGGTGGCTTGGTCAAGCCGTAAACAAACATCGGTAGCTATGTCGTCAACGGAAGCCGAATATGTCGCGGCATCATACGCAAGTAAGGAATTACTGTGGTTTAGACAATTATTGAAAGACATGAATGTTCCAGAAAAAGATCCTACAAAAATCAATGAAGACAACCAGGGATGTATCCGTTTAATCAACTCGGATCAATGTGGGGCACGGACCAAACATATAGATATTTGTCACCACCAAATCCGAGAATTGAGGGAGCAGAAAATCATAGATGTATGCTACTGTCCAACGGAAGCAATGATCGCTGATATACTAACGAAGCCGTTAGCAAAGGAACGCTTCCAGGAACTAGCTGATCAATTGGGGATCAGATAATTTCGAACTGTCAACGCGAGAAGGGGTGTTGGGATGGATGGCGCTTAAGTCAGTTCTTCATTCTCATGATTCTCACGCTATTCGCTATTGGATGGAATTTTCTCGATCGCTTACTGAACACATTATTATTAGACACCGACCTGTGTAGCGCTCGTTTTATAAATATACATTGTGTTATGTCTAATATGGGGAAGGTCACTCCACATAAGAATTTCGAATTGATGGATGTTAATAAATGTTTATTAATGACTTATTGTAAAGTTGTATGTATGTAGAAGACTCGGCTTCTTAATGTTAAACTGTGAAGGCTCGGCTTCTTAATGTTAAACTGAGAAGGCTCGGCTTCTGAATGTTAAACTGAGAAGGCTCGGCTTCTGAATGGTTAACTGTGAAGGCTCGGCTTCTTGTGACAGAATGCTGTAACGAAAATTATGCGGCTGCCTTTATAGCAAACTGTTGAGCTAGCCGGGACCAATAGAATTGCTGTCTCGAACAGAGCGACTATTGGTTAACGCTTATCGCATCTATATTATGATGCGTTGTATAAATGTTGCGCTTGGCGTAGTGGGCCCACACATATAAATTATAAATGCTTAATATAGAATATATATTATTGTAAGTTGTTTTTTAGTCGCAACATATTCCCCCCGTTGAGAGGGTACCGATCAATTATGTCTTATGTTTAACGGTTTACATTCTTGTTAACAGTTATAATTTGTTGATACAATTCTGTTATATCATTGTTCAATTGGAAGCGGACATATATACTTCACTGAACGTTTCAACTCTCCCGTGGCAGTCTTAATTGTGACTGTTCGCACAATGTCATCTGTTCCCGGATGAGTCTGAAGAATCT